TGCGTAGATAATAGATAAGAACAGAATAAAAAGTTAATGTTAGTTTCCTAAGCAAGGACTTTGAAAAATAAATTCAGTTTTAACGCCTAGGAGGCGTGTACGCCACAATGGTTTTTCTTATCTTGTATAATAGTTTTAAGAGAAATATCATGAAGCTTAATAAATATTAAGACATATTGAGATTAAATAAGTTTTAGCTAAGTTTAAAAGGCGGGGTGGCAACGCCAACCGATATTTAGCCAAGACACATTTAATACTAGAAAAGCAAGGCGCTAAGGTATCAGTAGTGGAAAAATACTAGAAATCCAGAATGCGGGAAAAGGGAGGAAAAGGGTAGGCGATCACAAAATAACTGTACAGCGTGACTTCTCTCGGGATCGCGGAGCCAGGAAGACGTGTGATCGCACACGGCTTAGTGAAACTTCGAAACCCCACGACTGCTCCGCAAGCTTTTTTACATACGATTGTATAATCACATCTCCCGATGGTGTGTTTTCATTTTATAGTTAGAAAGGAAACTTAACCTAACCTAACCTCAGTCCCACAGCTACTTTGGGCCGGACCGTGGACATACTTCCCGTTCGCCACGGTAGCCGTAGTTCTGCTCCTAGTAGTACCATCGGGCCTGAATGTGAACCCCTTCCCGTTCGATCCAGTAGTTCTACGCCCGCAAAGTATCCTCCCGACTCGGCCTCGCCAGAAGGTCCAGCCCGTTGGTTTTTTTGCCCTTGACGCGAGATCCAGGACTCCAACGCCCGCCCAGTATCCTCCCGGCTCAGCCTCGCCCGAAGGTCCAGCCCGGTGGATTTTTCGCCCTTGACGCGAAACACAAGACAAGGATTCTACACGTCCACGTTTCCGTCGACACAAATAAGAACCTTCGGTGCAGAGTCGGTGCAGACTCCCCATCAAAATCATCCGTTCACCTGTAACACGGAACTCTCTAGTCCGGTGTTTCGGTGATTTACAAATTTCTTGTAAAGGACTCTTGAGATCTGTACCCCGGCCGAAAAAGCATCCTTACAAGTGGCGCCCGAGCAGGGACACCGAGACTAGCTAGAGATTTATCCAAGTGGCCTAAAAACCCACTGTGAAAAGGGAAAAGTCGACCGGAGAGTCGAGACGAAACGACCGAAGGAATAGAAAGATATAAGCCCAGGAAAATAAGACGATGAGTACTCCTAAGGAATCCGACGGTGAGTACGAAGAAGGTAGCTATATAAAAAACCCTGGTGTAGGAGTTCGCTGGATATATGCCCGCCGAAGAGACGAACTCAACTCCCATGCCGTTGAGTTCGGCTTTAAAGCGGATGGTACCGTCGAAGAGGCCAGGAAGGCGTTTACCAACCTGGTCAGCGCAGGATCCTTCCCACAACGGGTGTGGAACCGGCTAGCTCAGCTGCAGGAACAGTACAGCAGTCGGGCCCCGAGCCCTAGTCCCACAAGAAAGAACGACGAGATGGGACAATTTGCGGAGTCCTTCCGGATACCCGTCGTCTCCGACGCTGTCGAGGTTCCAGCTCGTCATCGAGGGGTACAGCCAGGAACGACACACGGCATATGGGTGCCGCCAGTAGACGCTCGCTGGGCCACTGGCCTACAGGGGCAGGAGGTACGGAGTAATACGACTCCCACTCAGCACTTGCTCCCCGAGAAGATGCACAAGTGGAACCTGCGGTTTGATGGTAGCTCGGATCCGTTAACCCTCATTCCCCCCCCCGAGAAGAAAGACTTATAGGATAAATCCGGAAGAGAACCCCCGGGCTATGTCCGAAATCTTCGAGGGCCCGGCGGCACGGTGGTTCCGTGTTCTTCTTACCTCCTCGATACTTCGAACGATTCGGACTCACGTGCAGAGGAGAGGAGAGCCTTTCCAAACATACCTGATCGAGCTCAGGACAAAGATGCAGCAGGCTGGGTACCGAGAAGAGGAAGAGTTGTACCGAGCGTACGAAAACATGGCTCCAGAGTACCGGCTGTACATCAAGCGCAGTGAATTCGGGACGTTGAAGCAACTGACCCACATGGCAACTGAGTACAAGCGTGTCAAACAACTCGAGTCGACTCGAGATGGGACCACAGGAGGAACGGACAGGAACCACGAGGGATCGCAACTTCGACGATCGCCGAATAGATAAATCGGAGACATTAGCGATACCCACCCACTAGCCTAAGCACTACGTGAAGTGCTAATCTTCTAAACGGCCTTGGCGCGCCTCATATTGTTTAACTTCAGCTACCATTACTTGTTTCAATGTTAAGATAAGAAATAATGTTAGTCGATAAATAAAAAATGAATAGAATTATACTCTAAGAAACTTTGAAAATGCTAATCGCAAATGAGTTCAAACATACAATAATTTTTTTGTTTAAAAAAAGTAAACTTAGAATTACAGGAATCTTTAAGTATTTTAAATTTATATCAATTAAATGCACATTATATTATTATGATTATTACCTCACTGTATCTTCTTCTAAATACACATATGATTAAGTCTTTTGTATGATTTTTATCACTGTAATTACGAAAATTGTTATAAATGGTAAACGTAAATAAAAACATGAATACTTAACCCATTTAACTGAACTTTGCTGATGAATTCTCGGTCGTAGGACGTCGAAGGGGTTACTTGAGCCATACTTTAAGGTGCTGATCATTGGTTGGGAGGGCCAGATCTATCCCTGTAAAACTCGTTCCTGTTTTTATATACACTTATCATCCATATTAAGTTAACAATCAATCTCTTTTCGCTGGCATGCTTAATTCTAGTCATAACACCATAGTCTTAATGTGTATAAGAATTGTGGCAAATGTACTGGACTGATTTGATTTTTCATGTAATCGTTTCAAAAAAATTTTTTACTGTTAGAGTCCTAGGACACGTACTATATCACTATTTACAGCTGTGTATCTCTACCGCAAGTACTTCTTATGGATTACATAGGCGTTCATGACCAAGTCAAGCAGGAAAAAATTTAGCGGTCATTGTCAATGCCAATTTCGAATGGTTTGGTATATAAGTTGCTCATCACAATTTTGAAATTTTGCAATCGAGTACGAAGATGTGCTAGGAGCTAAGGATCAAAGAAGTAATCTTAATGTCTGGTCAAGAATGTCAAGCCTTGGATTCAAAAGTCAAGAACCACTTGGACTTGTCCTTCATCAGCACAAAGGATTTACTCAAATACTTGATTCTTACTGCTTGGGTTTAGTATCATGATCACTTTTCGTATCGCGATGTCAGACAGATATTACTTTTTAAAGGTGGATACATTGTTTCTATTTAGACGGCCATTCCGCTGCAAACCTGTTTTCATCAATGCATCCAGTTCCAACACTCCGTGGTAAAGTCGAAGTCAAGGGGCCTTGGGTGCAAAAGTCGGCTTTCCCAGATGCCAAATACCATAATCATAACCATGCTATGATTAGCATTTTGAGGTGAGTACATTTTTTCCGTCACACTTGGCAAATGGGTCAAGATCGAAATTAAGACGCAAATGAAGCAAGTAGGGAAAATATACCCTTGGAATGTCTACAAACGAGTGTTCTCACCCAATACCCTGGGATAAGAGTTCTCTGATGTACCAACTGAGCATTCCGGTCATTATTTCGGCACTGGGCTTTCCCGTAAGCCTAAAAGGAAGAACCTGTTTTCTTTTTCCTCCCTGCACAATATTCAATACCATATAAGAACAAAAAATTTTAAATAATTTGTTTAAAAAAAATATAAATAAAATATAATCATATATTATTTCTCTATGTTTTTGAGACCTTTCCTGTACGCCTTCAGTCTTCTTTTTTGTACGGCTTCTCAATGGTCAGGTTCACTCCTCTCCGGGAAACTTTACGCGCCTCTGCCGAATATGTTTTCATCAAGGTACACCGAATTCCAGAAAACCAATGGTTTAATACGTCTTGCAAAATTGAAATCACAATCAATAAATATTTGCTGATTGAAGATGCCGAGCCCACGCGAATATGTTAAATTTTCACAGCCAAAAGCACAGGGATAAAAGAATGGAGCTGAATTTAAAAAAAAAACTTAAAAATCATCAAGCATTACACTTTTTTTGATAACCGAAATCACTGTCTAAAGAAAAATACGCCAATTAACTAGGGTTTTCCTAAAAATGATATATTTATATCGTGATTTGTTATTTGCCCAAATATCGGAATTCCGATATTTTTTTTTGATATTTTTGTCTTTGGTCACTCTGTATTCCAAAGCGGCATCGAGTGAAAGAATTTAGGCGCGAAATAAAAAATTGAGTGTAAAATCAAACTATACGGATATAAAAAACGGCGTCCACCATCAAATGTGTTGTGTGCGACTCAAGAAGCAGGATGACAGACTCACACATAACGCAAAGGGTGTTATTAAAATCTCTAAACCCTGCATACTGGTAAATATAAAATATAATATAAATATATATAATATAATAAAATACTATTGTTTTTAAAAAGAAATTTGTTGTCTTTTTTTGTGGGCGGTAAATTTTTTCATTTAACACAAAAAATATCAAATATATCGCCATTTTTCTGTGATATTTTAAATACTATCATTTTTTTTTATATAAAAAAAATATCATCCATACGATATTTTTAAAATTTTCGACAACCCTACAATTAACCGGTCAATTGTAAGATACTATTTTAAAAAACCATCATTTGTTTACATATACATCACTTAATTGTATTGTCTATGTCTTTTTTTTACTAAGTACTAATTAATTAAATTTTTTTTCTGAGCGAAAACTTTTTAGTTCTCATTACTTCACAGTCTTCTAGAGCGAGCTCAATTACCATTTTTTTTATTGTTGTAGAAATAAATAGTTTAGAAAATACAGTCTTAATTTTTTAATTTTTTTTAAGTTATATACTACAGTAGAGTGCACGGCAATTCAACAGGTAAAGTGTTCGACAATCTGGCAATTTAACAGATTAATAAATCCAAAACTAATAATCTTACAATAAAAATTAAATAAAATCGAATATTTACCTAGTATATACTGGGACTAATTCCCTTCTGGCTTCTGTCCTTAAATAATTTTGCAACATATCCCAATTTTTTTCGTCATAGTTAACCGGAAATGGACCGATCTCTTCTTGGTTAGCAATTATGAACTTCGTTTCGCTTGGCATATTTGAAATTTGCGTTTGCTTTGTCTTATTTATCCATATATATGGACTATAGTTAGAAAAGTTTAGAGTTTCTTGCCGAACCAACGCAATAGGTATCCACCAAAGCATTTTGTCTTGCTCGGGCACATCATGAGGCCTTTCCCTGAGATACACTTTTTGTTGTATAATTGCAGTCCCTGAATTGTAGTCTCTAGTAATTGTGATAAGTGGTAAGCGACTTTGCTTTAACCAAGACTCAGCAATATTTAATATACTAAGCTCACTATCAAGCGTTTTATCTTCTACAGCTTGTTTGGAAATAACATTCCACAGGTCAGATCCTTTATACGTTTTGAATTTGAAATTGCAAATTAATCGTTGTATTCCGATTTTAAAGGTATGATCTCCTAGTGTAAGTTTGAGCATTCGAATAATTAGCTCAACTTTAAAAGTAGTCGACTCGTGTTTCAATCCGATTACGCGTGAATGGGGGTACCTCTTGCTCAACTCATAGTACAATGAGTAAAGAATGGTCATGGGATATTTGCCATTAAACTCTATTCCGCCATTTATCTAGATAAGAAAAAAATTATATAAATTAATTTATTATATGTTATTATATCTTAAAAATTTGTTTAAAAACGACTTACTTCAATTACAATTTCTGATGCTATAAAACTAATTAGTGCTTTGTTTACGATGGCATCAGTCCACCACTCAGGAGTTATCCATATACCAATCCATTGATAAATAAGTTCTCTCGAAATTGCGAAAGTTCCTTTTTTTAATAATTCAGACTCTCTAAAAAGTAACCATGTAATATTATTGATAATAAGTAAATACTGCACCATACCTTACTATCAGCATACCCCATGTGCTGACATATCGAACTGATGGAAGATCAGGGATAGCTATTACATCAAACTTCTCAAGGGGCAATGATGTATTAAAATAATGTCTTATAGTTTTATGTGCTATGTTGAGTTTATTTTGAATCTCCTGAAACATAAAAAGTTTTTTTAAAAAAAATGCAAGGAAAAATATTAAGGCTAGAAAGGAAACAAACTTTTTTTTCTATTTAACGACTATATATGGATTATTTTACGCTCCCAAATATTCTGGATCAACAATGATGCGGGTCGATATAACTATGTCCGTCTGCCCTAATTTACCATGTTTTCAAAACTGTTTAAACTTAAAAAGAACAAGAAAGGAAGCAACTTCGGCAAGCCGAGGCTGATATACCCTGGCAGTTATTACAATACGATTACATTTGGATTTCTATGCCTACATTACTTAAAACAATGAAGCCATCGTTTCTATGGCATCTATATGATATTGTTGTCCGATTTTTACAAAACTAAAAGCTTAGTTCTGATATAGTAAATAATTACTACATCGCAATGGATTATTTTGATAAATAGAAAAACAAAAAAATAAAGTTTTATGTTTAATTTTTGTTATTTAATTTTTCGATTTTTTTATGGAAGCTGTATGGCTGATATAAATGTCCGATTTTAATTTAATTAAAACCGTAATTCTATAGTATTTAAATATTACCAAGCCAAAAGAACAAAAAAAAATTTTTAACAAGAAAGGAAGCAAACTTTTCCAAGCCGAAGATTATATACTTTTAAAGTTATTACAAAACGACTACATTTAGATTTCCATGCCTATATTACTAAAAACAATAAAGCTACACTTATGGCCAAAATAATAGGTGTGTTTTGTTTTTTCACTTCATTTTTTTAATTCATGTCTTCTCTAATCTCAACAAATCACATTTTTTTCAGAACTTTTATTAATTGTCTTTAAAAAGAACAGTTTCACAAATCCTTTAATATAACTAAATAAATAATAGGTGTACAAAGATAAATGTTTAAATTTTGGTATTTTTATACCCTTGCAGAGGGTATTATAATTTTGGTCAAAAGTGTGCAACGCAGTGAAGGAGACATCTCCGACCCTATAAAGTATATATATTCTTGATCAGGATCACCTCCTGAGTTGATATAGCCATGTCCGTCTGTCCGTCTGTCCGTCTGTCTGTTTCTACGCAAACTAGTCTCTCAGTTTTAAAGCTATCGAGTTGAAACTTTGCACACAGCCTTCTTTCTTTGCACGCAGTATATATGTCGGAACGGGATCGGCCGACTATATCCTATAGCTGCCATATAACTGATTGATCGGAAATGCCATAACTTTGGTGTTTGGTCTTATATTTGGCCAATCAATCCGACCTACCAAATTTCATAAGGATCGGCCGATAACTGATTGATCTGAAATGCCATAACTTTGGTGTTTGTTAAGTTAGGAAGTTGGGATTTTCTATGGGTTTTATTTTTGGCCAATCAATCCGACCTACCAAAGTTCATAAGGATCGGCCGACTATATCTTATAGCTGCCATATAACTGAACGATTGGAAATGCCATAACTTTTGTGTTTTTAAAGTTAGGAAGTTGGGATTTTTTATGAGTATTAAGAATGCATCTTATGAATAATTTTGGAGAATATAATTTACAGAGTATTCTGCAAGGGTATATCAACTTCGGCTCCGCCCGAAGTTAGCTTTCCTTTCTTGTTTTATATAAAGCTAAGATAACCTCAAAGAGTAATGACGTGCAACTACGGCCATCAAATAGCACCAGCGACAAGTGCTTATCACCACTATTTGCATAAACAAACAGGTTAATAAAAGAAACACAAAAAAAATCAAAAAAATAAAACAACTAAAAATCAGGTGATAAAACAATCACACACATGGGTTCGCCCCACATAACCAAAATGTTGCCAAAAACATACTTTTATCCAAAAATTCAATAAATGAACAAAAATACATAGTGATCAAAAGAAAAGAAAACCTTTCCTTAGAACACACAAGTCCATTTATAATTAAAAAGTCAATAGATTATATCTGTGGAGGTGAAGTAGATAAATGCTAGCCAACAAGACAAGAACAACAGGTCTAATTACATTAACTTTTACTTCCACCAGTCTCCCTGAAAAAGTAATGATCGGCTATGAGGTAGAATTCACACGTCCAATGCAGTGCAAGAAATGCCTTCGTTTTAATCACACCCAATCCTACTGCAAACAAGAAAACCCTACCCAAAAACTGTTCTGAACTCACACTCAAACGAATGTAGACAAGTACCTAAATGCATTGACAGAAAATGCCCAATCTTTCTGAAAGAACAGGAGAAAGTAGACCACAAAACTGCCCCTTCCATATACTGCGCAGGCCACAATCCCAGCCAAGAAACCTCAAACTCTCAAACCCTCAAAAATGCAGCACCCACAGAAAAACCCCATTAAAATAACAGAAACTCAAGCACAGAACAAAAAGTAAACAACGCGAACATTAACTCGATGGAAGAAATTCTAAAAGATTTAGCAAGAAAATTGCAGAGGTAGTTAACAGAACTCCAATAACGTACAACATATACGATGAAGATATGGATATGACACTTAACGGCACTCAAAAACCTTCGACATCAACAAACGATCGCGTACTTAGAAGCCAAACAGAAGAAAAATCCGTCCTTTCCAAACCTCTAAAAGCTAAAGAACAATAACCGAGCCTTTGCAACACAAACATTATAAAACAAGAACAAAAATATCATTAAATTATGACTTTAAAAATAATACAATGGAATATAAAGGGATATACAAACAACTACAACCAACTACTACTACTCATAAAAAACACTCTCCACATATTATATAACTCCAAGAAACACGCATATTAGCACACCAATAAAATACAGTATATTAATAAACATTGAATCGAACCGATTTGAAGGATTAGCCCTGCTAATCAACAAATCAATCCAATTTACACAAACCAACATCAATGACGATCTAGAAGCAATAGCAGCAGTAATAAAATCAAAACAAAATTTTAAATTAAACTCCATTTACATTTCACCATAATATTTAAATATTACCAAATCCCAAAGAACAAGAATTTAAAGACAACAAAGTTTAAACTAAAAAAAAATTTTTTTCCGATTGTTCCTATGGGAGCTATATGATATAGTCGCCCAATCTGGCTCGTTCCGACTTATACTACCTGCAATAGAAAGACAACTTTTGAGACAGTTTCAAGGAGATAGCTTTAAAACTGAGGGTCGGAAATGTCTCCTTCACTGCGTTGCGAACTTTTGACTGAAATTATAATACCCTCTGCAAGGGTATAAAAAGACAACAATTTTTAACTGATAACTGGGACCATTTCGCAATCCACACACACAACACCAACAACCTATACCCTGCCTTAGCCAAAATAAACAAAGAAGCAGCACTACCCTGCAGTTCCGAAATTCATCACTACAAAAATTCATCACTGTTTAATCAGCAGCGGACTGCGACGCCGGCAGAGCCAAAGGCAAAGTCGGCAGAGCCGAGTGCGACGCAGGCAGAGCCGAAACTCTCAGTCCCAGATCGTAGGCAACGCAGAAAAATTTCCATCTCCCTCTCTTACTCCGCCTCTCTCCCCATAAAATGAGCTGAGAGGTGGAGGACATTGTATTAAAATCAGATCGACCTTTATACACCCTTGAAAATAAATTAGCATAATTTTTGTATTGTAGTCGCTGAATCTTATTAATTATATTATTTTATGGAAATACTTTTTAAAAATAAAATTATTATGATAGTTTTGAAAGGTATTGATTCCTTTTTTAAGTGAATTTAAGTTATGTGATTATTTTTCATAGTCGGACATGCTTTTATATACCCTGCTTTGACGCGAAGCGAAACATGTAAAGACAAATTAGGCAAAGGAAAGAACAATAGGATTAACGGCGCCCTTGTTTTCAACTGAAGTTGTTTTCGCGGTTTTTACGTGCACTTGCATTTGAGAGAACGGAGAGAACAGATCGAAGCTGAGATTTTTTGTGAAATTTTATAACTAAATTTATCAGAAATTTAGGTAAGTGTTATTTTATTAATTATTTTGAACTGTACCTACATATACTGTTAATATATTTATTCATTATTTAAGGCGAAGCAAGAAACGCAGTAAGTTTTTATATATTTTATAATAATTTTTCTATTTTAGATATACTTGGTCAGAAAGAGCCAGTACATTAAGCACGAAGTCAAAAAAAGAGCACTGAAACCGAAACATCCTCAACACCTTCGAGACAACTGAAAACGTACATATGTAGATTGAATTAAGTTAAATTAATTAGTTATATGTAATTAAATAAATGAAATAATAATAAAATAATGTAATAAAATAAAAAAATAAATTTATATGAAAATTTACTGAATAAATTTTACTGATGAAAAAAAGCGATGAAAAAGCGATGAGAAAGCGATGAAAATGCGATGAAATGTGATGAATTTATCACTCTTTAATCAGTAATTCATCACTCGTTAATCACTATTTCATCGCATTTTAATCACTCGTTCATCGCATGTTCATCAGTAAACGCTGTTCAAAGAGTGATGAATTACTGATTAAAAAGTGATGAAAAACTGAAAAAAGAGTGATGAATTACTGATTAAAGAGTGATGAATTTTGCACTGATTAACTCCTAGGACATGCCAATGTTAAATTCATCACTAATTTGTATGAAGTTTCATCGCCGATTTATCAGCAGTGATGAATTTTTGGTGATGAAAAAGCGATTAAAAGGTGATGAACGGTACTGCAGGGTAATTAACGAAATAATATTAACAAGCGCACACCAAACAATACCACAAACACTATCCAGCAGAGGCTCATGCACAGTTTCTTGGTGGAACAAAAACTTAGCGGTCTAAACCCAATTAAACAAATATGTTACATTGCATTACAACCAACAATAACGAGACTACCCACGACAAAAACAAAATAGCCAATCTGCTCGCACACCATTGGTCAACAGTTGACCAACTTATTAAATGGAAATGTGGCCACAATGTGGTCTTTAAAGGGATTCTTTTCAAAATCGTCTTTAGCGTTCTCCTCTGATATTAAATTCCTATAATAAGATACAGTTTTATTGAT